GTTCATACAATTCCTCATTCACTTTGACCCTCATTTTTGGTAGGGAGTTTAAAACCCTTAAGAGCTGGTGCTTCCCCAGGGATTTGTTTGTAACTGTATCTTTTCATGATACCTTCTCCTGGGTGACCTCATTGCCTTCCATTGCTTGAACCACCATCTGAACTTTGCTCACTACCAAGGGTTCTGATCTGCAGGGTCACTGTGCCTTTCTGTGTGCTGAGGTTACAGAACTCACAGGCATCTTGAATCGAGCACATCCACTGTTTACCTTACTGCCCTCTCCCCTGATGGTGTTCCGTTTCCCTACACAGGGCAACGGCACCACTCTCTGCCCATCCTGGGGTTACCCTGGACCCCTCTCCCTTGTTTCTTACAACCAGACCACCAATTAATCCCTTCTTGCTTACATCAGCCTCCTCCTGGTCTTCCTTTTCTCTGGTCTTATCTTCCACACTTCCTTTTAGACAGATTTTTCTAAAGTACAGATACGATTTACCCCTTTTCCAATTCTTCAATCTTATGGTCATCAGGATGACATTGAACGTTCTCATTGAAGAACACGTGGCCCCTTGTATTCTAGCCTTTCCCTGTGTTACGGTCTCACCTGTTGCCGACCTCCACCAGATTTCCCGTGTTTTGATCATTGTGTTAATTTTCTAGGGCTGCCATTAACAAATACCGCAGGGAGTATAGGTTTGGTTTCTCCCGAGGCCTGTCTCTGTGGATTACTGACTTTTCCTTCTTGTATATTCCTGCCTCCTTTGTCAAACATTAACTGTCTGTAGGTGTGTGGGCTTATTTCTGGGCGCTCTATTCTGTTCCATTGATCTATATGTCTCTTTCGGTGCCAATACCACCACCCAGTTTCATTCTTGTAGCTTTGTAGTATTGTCTGAAGTCTGGAGGGTTAGGCCTCCTGCTTTGTTCCTTTTCCTCAAGATTGCTTTGGCAATCCTAAGTCTTTGATGGTTCCATATAAATTTTAGGATCATTTGTTCTAGTTCTGTGAAAAATGCCATGTGTAATTTGATAGAGATCACATTAAGTTTATAGATTGCTTTTGGTAGTATGGCTAAGAAAGAATGAAATATGAAGCTGACTTCTCATCGTTCAAGCATGGTCAGAAAGCAACCCTAATTATCTTGCAACTTGTGTCTATCTTTAAAGTGAGGGTGAGGCAGGCAAACAGTGGCAAAAATAACAGTGGATAGACTTACTTTCTCTTTTCACCTTCGTAAGTTAAACTTCTTGTAATGAAATCCCAAATGTGAACCTTATTCTAGAGTTTGTTTATATCAGCTAAACTAGCTGACAATAATCCAGTGGATTATAGAAATCCTCTATAAAAAGACTAGTATTAAATATTTACTCTTTAATTAGAAATTATTGTATACAGTTTCATAGACATGTACTATTTGTCAGAAAATAAGTTTGCCAGCTGCTACATCTAAATGAACTTGCAAAACTTCAGAAAAGGCTTCATCCAAAGAAACTGGAACTGATAAGTTTCAAAGCTATAAAAACATCAACATGAACACTGATATTTACTTGCAAGTGAGAGCACAGTGAACTTTACTAATTTGCATTACAGTTAGGTATAAAGCAAGCACCAAGTTATTTGCATTAATTTTTTTTAGTTCAATTTTCCATTTGTTGATACTTACACTGTTGAAGAAGTAAAAGTTCGCCCAAGGAGTAACAGCAGTGGACCCCATCCAGAGGAAGATCATGGACCATGTGAAACTGCTTCAGGAAACTGTTTCCCTTGGAATGTAGATGGTGATTTAATGGAAGTTGCTTCAGAGGTCCATGTTAGGTAAGTAAGTAAGCACCACCTTATATGTCTGTCAGACACGGAACTAATAGTTACAAGAAGGAAGTTTCCATTTATACCATGGAAGCAGGCAGCTGTCTAGATAGTAAATCAGGAACACATAAAAAGACACATGTACAATTGTAATAAAAAGTATAACTTTGTATTTATTCACCAATTGTTATATACAACCATTTTCTTTGGTTATGAGTCTCTATGTTGGCATTGCAAATTACCATTCTTCATAAACTATACAGATAATGTATGTCTGAAAATTCCACTTTGAGTTTTTAAAAATAGATTAAGATCTTATACCTCATGAGGTCATTTGAATGGCAGATGGTTACAATTTAAAATTGTAACCACTTTTAAAATTTCCTTTTACCCACAACAAATTCTTGTGTTCAGCAGTTTGCTTTTATCATCTTTCCAAAGCATACTTTACATAAGAACAATTTTACATATTATTTATTAGCAAGAGCAAATGGTTATAAACAGGTAAACTCATTTTCTGTAAGTATTATGACTCTGTGAGTGGAAGTGTGCAGGGCTTCCTGAGTAGCCTGCTAGATATGAGCTTTCTACAGGCACAATTTACTGGGCTTTTCAGGAATTAGTGCTACTGATTTATCAGGCCCTGCATTTTTTCTAGATGGCAGCTCTGCCATGAATATATGTTTGTTGGTTATCATTAGATTTGAATTTGGTAGTATGCACTGCATTTAATAGGTGTTATGTATGAAAAATAACAGAATGATAGGTTAATCAAATAATCAGTCATGTATATTATATTCTTTACAGAGTACACCCAAGACTTATCAATCTTTATGGAAGAAGCATGGAAGAAATGAATGATTCCAAAGTAACATGTAGTTGTTTATAAGAAGAATGTGGAAACTAGAATTTTAATATGAAAGGATATGTTTTAATTAATCAGATATTTTAATAAGAAAAAAAATCTATTTTGAAAAGAAATTAAAATTGCTATTTTTGATGTTACTAAAATTAGCTTCTAGACTTAAAAAAATAAGACATGAAATATATACAAAACAACTGAAATTTTGGTTTTTGGAGAGTATTTATTAGAATGGAAAATAAACATCTCCGGTATTTGAAATTTAAACAAGATATATCAATATTTAACTTTGATTAATTCCAAAGTGAAATAATTTGGATTCTTTCTTCCTGGATTTGAGTCCATCAATTCTGATGTTAAATTTCGATAGCCTGGTGCCAACAGATCAGAGTTCATGTAAGAATGTTCTGATATCCTGATGAGGTAAGTATTCCAGCAAGATTATATTTCAAAATTACACATTTAGGAAATCATATAACCAGAAATAGTACTATTTTTTTTCCTCAAAATCTCTAATATGTAGACTACGTGTCAAAAACAAAAAAGATGGATTAAAGTTATAGCACCAATTTTGTGACGGTCTCTGAAAGTTGAAAAGTCAAAGTGATAGGAGTTTGAAGTCCACTGTACACCGACCATGCACAATATATAAGGAGTCATAATCTGGCCCAGTAGGGAGCTATGTTCCTCTTGCTCCTGAAAGTCCTGCTATCTGACAATTCTAGCATGTTTGCATTAAACTCAATGCTACCTGAAATGCTGTTATTTCTAGTACGAAAGACCAAATTTAAATTTCCTCAGGGATCATCCTTGAGAAAGCAGTTCTAAATTTGGATTTGATTTTCTACCAATGAGCCTAGACATTTTCTTGAAAGAACTACTATAAAAATTTTAATTTCTATTGCTTACACACCAAGATAGGCGGTTTCATGCTCACTGGGTCTCGCTGCTCAAATGCCTTCACCGATCGCTGTGCATTTCTCATTTTCCAGCCACCAATATGTGAGCAGATAACAGAAATGAAGCAGTCTGAGGAAGACAGCTGTTGGCAGGGACCTCATATGAAGAAATCCTTTTCCATAACAGTAAAGACTGGCCCCTAACTTATCACGTCCCATAACAGATTTTGAAAATTTGGCCACAACTTTCATATCAAGTTAGATGTAGGAACAAATCAGATGAAGTTATGTTCTGCAGTTATCAGCATTTAGTTCATATGCAAGAATAAATATTACAAAAAATGACTATTTGTAAATGAAGAGGCATGTAAAGATAAATTATTTTAGACCCAGAAAGAAACTACTTCATTATAAAAGTATGTAAGATAATATCAACAAAAAACTTAAAATATTTCACTTATCACTAAAACATGGAAATTTTCATATTTTTATCCAAGCCAAATCTACATTTTTCAAATTACAGTTAAATTTGTGAATTTTGTTTTCTAGTTCCATGTGGAAGAGAATGCCCTTATAGTACTGGTTTCATACTTACACTTGAGGAGAAAAGAATAACATCCAAACAAGAATTTATTTATTTGCTGAATTTTGACAGTCCACATTTTAAATAGTATCTAATTTGTATGAAATATTTGTCCCCAATATCATCTTTGGAAGGCTCTGATTTTTAAATTAGTGAGGTACAGTTTTCATGTTTTACATATATCAGTGTATTTACATTTCAAATATCAGCTAAAGTGCAACATTCAATCTATTTTAGAATATAAATTAGAATTCTAAGTATTGTTTTTATAAACAAAAAATTTGACTAAAGATGGATTTTTAAAATTTACTCTTCAGTACCTTTACCTTGATAAAATTGTGTTACAAAATGACTTAATTGGATTTATACCTATATCAACATATATTCTTTTAGAAACTTATGTATATATATATATGTACAGAAAGAAAAAAATACATGGCTGTATAAACAATAATTATCCAGAAATCACCCCTTTAAGCTCAAACCAGTGTATAAGTTCAGTCTGAAGTTTGCTCATCAGACCATAATATTCATAGACTGGTTGCTGATCAAAGCTCACAGGAAACAGATTATAAATCAGTGTCTTTAAAGATATCTGCTTTAAAATGATAGTGGTTCTTTCTATTCATTAGAAAATTTGGTGACAGCTTGTTGAAAAATTCTGTTAAATATTTCTAGAGAACATATTCCAAACAATTCTCAAAGAGCTATTAGGACTGAGTCATTGCCTATTGGGTGGAATTAATTTTACCAAAGCACACACATACGGTGAATAGTATTTCTTTTAAAGGCATGAAACAAAAAGTCCAACTCTTTTCCAGGTGAGTTGTTTGCTTCCCCCACATAGTTTTAATTCAGATGCACTTTCAAGATATCTTCCAGAGATTTTCTCTTGAATAAGTTGATGCTTTAGTGTTTTTATATCCATCTAAGAGCTGCAATATTATCCTCTGAGAGAAAATAACTCTAAAGGTAACCCTGTAATATATCCAAAGACAATGAAGATGAAAAGTCCAAGCAATGATGAAGACATAATATGTCACATGGTCATTATTAAAAGAAGTACATAAAAGAAGTTTGAGCAGAATTCATGGTTTCTTGTAAACAATGTCTAAAATGCTTTTTAAATATATTGTAACCTGAGTTGTTCTGTTAACTTGAAAGAAGTCTTCAATCATCTTTATCACTTTTACTGTTAATGTAACTCCAACTGTCTCTTCTGTTTTCTTCTTGTAGGATAGATTTGTACTGTCTTTTGAAGAAGCCAGCCTGAAAATAACATTGTATAATCACTGCTGTATAGTTATGAACATATTAAATGTCTAAACAGAAAATGACACTTGTAGTCAGTAAAAATTAGTTTGGGAGACACTGGGTTAAACAGCCTTGTTTTGTCGTTACTATAGGGTTTCTCAGTGCTGCATGCACATGCTCCAAAATTGAAATTCAGCATACTTTCTAAATGCTTTTTTAGAAAGTCTTTCAAAACTTCTGTTATATTGAATATTCATTGAAAAATCAGTTATCTTTAAGAAAGCATATTTTTCTAGAAAGACTTTGGTACTGAAGTTAAGAGAAATGTGATCAGTGCTATTAAATATCAGTCCACGTAGGAATTTAAAGTTAACATTAAAAATACTGAAATACTTAAATCTAGTAATGTGGGAGTCACAGGTTGGCTTGGAGAAAACTCAAGAATGGAATTTTGAGTGGTTCAACAGTGGTAATTATTAAAGGCTTACCTTCCACATAACATAAGAAATGAAGAAAAGTAAAATAAGTCCAAGTAGCAAGCTACTTGAAATAATCATTATAGTGAAATGGCGTCTGGGTCTTTGATGATGTAGTCCTTCGAGAAGAACCTACAGAAATTAACCAAAAGAAAGAACCACCATTTAAAAAACTCGCCTCTATTTCCTTTGAAGCCCCTCTACTTTCCCCAGCAGCATTTAGAATATTCCTTCCCATTCTCTTGCTGTTCTAACACAACCATAGGAAACACTGGTAAATGTTTACCAAAACAGGGAGCATCATGTGCCCTGTCTGGTTCTTCCTCCAGTTCATTCTGCCAAAATCACCTTCTGAAAGAGCTGTCATTCCTTCCTGCCAGTTGTAGAAAATGCCACTCCCCAGTAAAGTATTTTAGGCTCTCTGTGGTTTTCCTGACCAAATACCCTGGCAATATTTTTTTTCCCATAATCTTTATGTTTCAGTTAAAAAGGTAATCTTACATGTGCAACATTCTCATCCTTCATTAGTTCAATAACTTTGGGATTTGGCTCTGGAAAAGCTGTTGCTCTTATTTCAAACTTCAGTGCTCTAGTCTCATCCTGTTTAAAGAAAAGAGACATAGTTTTATTTCATGAAAACATACAGCAGGTAAGGATCATGAGAAACTAAAAGTTTTCACAATTTATCTTCTCCAACTTATTTCACCATTCATACTTAATTGCAAGGCAATGCTTCCTTTAGTTCCAAAGGCATGTCCTTTGTATTAATTAATATTTAATTTTATTTGATAGTTATTAGTATATTTTTTCCTTAGGGAAGACTTTGATAAACATTTCCTCAAATTAATTTTATTTGGGCTTTTCTTATAGTATTTGGTATACTATCTGTTTTGTTGAATGCCTTCTTACTTACCATCCTACCTGTGATCAAATACAAATAGTATACCAAATGCTATAATGAAAAAATATGGTACAAATATTTATAGCATTCAAAAATAAAATTGCTGGATGAATTCAGTTTTACTATCTAACAGACAGAGGGACTTCATAACCCAGAATTCAGGGCTTAGACATCTGTGGATGAGCTTCACAAGGTCTAAGGCCCTTTGAAATTTTATTCAAAATTGAGATTTTTTTTTAATATGTGCATTCATTAGGGTAATGAGAATATATTCTTTGATCAAATTCTTACAGAAATCTATGACCTGCAAAAGTTAAAGCTACTGTGTAAAGGTTGTTTAACATTTTGGAGAGAACATGTTGACTTTTAGAGCTAAAAATAAATTATGTACTTTATCTGGAGCAGTGCTTTTCAACAGGGATAATTCTGTACCCTGGAGGATGGTCATTTATGTCTGGAGACATTTCTGGCTGGCAGGAATGGGGAGGGGGTGCTAGTGTAGTAGGTAGAGGCCAGCTGTTCTGATAAGTATCCTACAAGCACAGGACAGCCCCTGACCACAAAGACGTATTTGGTTCAAAACGCCACTGGTGCCCACTGGTGAGAACAATGAACCTTGAGAATATGAAGGCAGACCGCAGAAGTTTAAATAACTTACAACTAAAATGGATAGCTCCTATTTCCCTGTCTGATGCGTCTTCCTCTTAACCACCTTGTGGTCATTTCAACTTCTCCTCTTAACAGAACATGATAGCTGTTGTCATTTCCTTTGGCTTATTATGTGCTATGTACTATTACTAAGTGCTTTATAAAGATCATCTAATCTGAACAACTCTGAAAAAGATCTATTACCCATATTGATCAGATAAGAAAATTTTATCTCAAAGTACTTCTCATAAATATACACACTCCTTTCCAGGAAGAAGTCTAACGTGTATTTAGTTAATTTTTAATTCCAGCCTTCAAAGTTCATGTCCTTAAAAGTGTGTTTGTGTTCTTGCATGTTTGTGTTTTGTTAAATTTTGATGTTTTAGACTGTATGGAAGTCTTAATTTTTAGTAAATGTATACTATATACAATAGTAGGTCTTTAAGCATAATGTGTAAATAACTTTAAGGATATATGAAATGTTAAGGCAGCTAACATTGATTTGAGTGACATTCATAAATAGTTGGACATGCTTTCTAAAATCTCAAAATTATAGTCTATTTTATAGCCTATGTTATCTGTTTAGTTACTAAAACCATGTCATTTAGACAGTGTATTTTGAAGTAATAAATGGGACCAGTTTTAGAATTTCATTCCAGATTTTACAGTCATTCATACCTTCTTAATTTACTGAATGCCTCTTTAACTTACCATCCTGCCTGTATAAGATGGTGTGTAAGGTCTGTCTGAAATCTTATCCACAAAGTTGTCACTGTATCATAGACTTACCATTTCTAAAATGGATGGCCGACCTTCCAATTGAATGTGAACACTGGCTTCTTTTCCACTGTCCATTTTCCCAAAATGGCATGAGATATCTAAGCAATATGGATCAGCTTTCATGCAGTACTTAAAAAGAATACAAAAGAGCTGTGTTAAAATTTCAACATTTTAAAAAAGATGGCTAAAATATTTTACGTGGAAAAAAAAAAATAAATAAAATATTTTACGTAGAATTCAAGATCTGCTCCCATTACTGGCATGTGCAAAAATTTATCTTGCTATAAACATGGAATTAAGGATATGCTTTCATTAGTGGCACTTAAAAATTATCTTGCTTCAAAGAAAACACAAATATTTATAGTAAATTATAACAAAAACAAGTATTCGAACTGTATCATATGTTTCATTATTTTTATGAAAATATTCTGGGATAGAAAAAGACACATAATGAGAGTATTTGCTTAGTTACATGTTCTGTGATCAAACTTGGATCATTTGGAGGGTTTCCTTGTCCACCCCCCCCACCCCCCCGATATATTCACTAAAATGAAAAAGAGTGGAAATTTCATGCAACCAGAGGTTGTTCAGCTGAGGACAACATCTCGACCAACCCCCAAAAGGGTTGGGTACAATGTCTGGTTGGCATGAATTGGGCACTTAATGACTAGTATATAGTCTATATTTAACCCTGGGTGTATCTCAACTCTCCAGTCATGCCTGTTCCTCACATACAAGGACATTACCTGACTTGGCTTCTCTCCTAAACTGAACTGACAGTTCAGACCTCTTGGTCCGTGGTTTTAAGTGTTTCAGTCCCGTATGTTGGAAAGCAAAAACTACACCTGAAATACTAAAACTTACCAGGAGCCTCTTATCAGTCTTTGACAGAAATCGGAATATATCTTTAAGGGTCTCCATTGTGCCTTTTTGCTGGTCTGATGCACACTTTCTTTGATAATTCTTAAAATGGCATTCTCCAGCAGTCGTCTATAAAGACAGAGAGCAAGAGAACTCTTACCCATTATTGGAAAGAACAACAGCTACATGGCTTTAAAACTTACCTTTCAAAGCTTACCTTTTCAGAAATGTATCAAATACTTCTAAAATTAGGTGAAAATATTTTTTGACAGATTTGGGAGACATTAAATCTTTGTGGTTAAAAAAATGCAACAAAACTCAGAAAAATTTTAGAGGCTTGATATAGTCCTAAATTGATCAAAGGGCCTTAACCTTAAAAAAATTAGGGCAGTATGAAAACTGAACATTAACATGAAACTGCACATTTCCGTAGCTTTTAGACATACAGTAAAGGGTTACAGCAGCCTGCCCTACCATCTCAATCTGGAATTCAAGTAGGATTTTTAAGGATTACCTCTGAAATCTACTGAGTGGATTTATTTGCTGATTGCTTGTCTTAAAACTGGGAAGGTAAAAATAATTCAGATAGAATCAACATAAGAATATTGATTCTTAGTAGTTATTTGATAATAAAAGGCTGGAGTACTGATTTTTCAACATTGGTCTCAAGCTTTATGGAGAATCCGATCAAAGAAAATCTACCAAAAGATACAGCATAATTTTGTTATTGTCACATGTAGAGATTCCAATGTAATCACACAGTTCTAATGCAGTAGTCAAAAGTGTACACAATAAACGCATGGCGAATTCATAGCTGAGACTAAGTGTGACTGAAGTAAGGTAACAAATCTCCATTTTAGCAATATGTCTTAGAATAAAGCAAGGAACACCATTTTTTACCTGGACATCCAAAACGTTGAACAGCTTATCGGTTCGGGGACTAAAAGAATTTGGTATCATTATCTCCACACTAATATTTGGAGCCATGCTTTGGCCAGTGTTGATGACCTGATAAGGAAGAAGTTTTAAACACTCAAAAAAACACGTTTTATAAAAGTACAGATACCAATGAATTTCTCAGGTGAAACTGTGTATTTCATGCAACATTTATAAGGGTGGAGGTTTGTAGTTGGCACCTGCACAGCAAAGGGAGATAGAATATCCACTATCAGAACTTTAAAATGTTTGCTAATAATATAACTAGTCGTTATTCCTAGCCCTTTCCTTTTGGTGATTAGAACAAAATGTCTGCACTGATGGTTTATTGCAGAAATAGGCTGAAGAAAAAGACATCGATAATATACAGTTCAGGGGGTTAGGGTCACTGACCCTCAGTGCAGTTGAAACTCCAAGTATAACTTATAGTCAGCCCTCTGTATACATGATTTCTCTGTAGTCACAGATTCAACCAATCAATGGTTGGTTCGAAACTATAGAATTTACTATTGAAAAAAATCCACATCTAAGTGGACCAGTGCAGTTCAAATCACTGTTGTTCAAGACTATACCTCGGTATGGCACATTACTCATCTAAAAAACCGTGACCAATTGTCCTTATAACTACTCCATGAGGTGGGCTAACATTTTATTATTTATGGACTCAGGAAGATGCTAAGAGGTATTAATGTTGTATCCAAGATGACAGTTAAAAAATGGCAAGAAGTGGGACCAAAACCTAGGTATTCTAATTCTAAATTCTATGTTGTTTTCATAAAGTCACTCTGTGCTGAGAGAATAATCATCAGCAGTGAGTAAAAATATATTTAAGTTCAGGGTAATTATAATGCGGAAGAACTCAGAAAATTAGAAAAGGGTAGGTTATTAGGGTTTAGGGAAAAAAACAGGTTTTTAATAATATGCATAAAGGGAAGATATTTCTTGATAAATGATAAATATGATTCTTGATCATGATAAATATAAATATCAAATATCATATATAATATATATATCTTTGTAGTTATTTGATAATATTTGATATGATATATAAATATATAATATAGATACCAAATTCTTGATAAATGATAAAACAGTTTATCATTATCATTGATAAATCTGGGGATTGCAGAACCCTGAAGAAGAAAATTGAGCCAAAATACTTAGTGGTCAATGCAAGGTAATAGAGGAAACCAATAGAATGGGAAAGACTAGAGATCTCCCCAACAAAATTCAAGATACCAAGGGAACATTTCAAGCAAAGATGGGCACAATAAAGGACAGAAACAGTGTGGACTTAACAGAAGCAGAAGATATTAAGAAGAGATGGCAAGAACACACAGAACTGTACGTCAAGACTGTATATTGTCACCCTGCTTATTTAACTTCTATGCAGAGTACATCATGTGAAATGCTGGGCTGGATGAGGCACAAACTGGAATCAAGATTGCTGGAAGAAATATCAATAACCTCATATATGCAGATGACACCACCCTTATGGCAAAAAGCAAAAAACCAAAGAGCCTCTTGATAAAAGTGAAAGAGTAGAGTGAAAAAGTTGGCTTAAACTCAACATTCAGAAAACTAAGATCATGGCATCTGGTCCCATCACCTCATGGGAAATAGATGGGGAAACAATGGAAACAGTGACAGACTATTTTCTTGGGCTCCAAAATCACTGTAGATGGTGACTGCAGCCATGAAATTAAAAGACGCTTGCTCCTTGGAAGAAAAGCTATGACCAATGTAGATAGCATATTAAAAAGCAGAGACATTACTTTACAACAAAGGTCTGTCTAGTCAAAGCTATCGTTTTTCCAGTAGTCATGTATGGATGTGAGAGTTGGACTGTAAAGAAAGCTGAGTGCCAAAGAATTGATGCTTTTGAACTGTGGTGTTGGAGAAGACTCTTGAGAATCCCTTGGACTGCAAGGAGATCAAACCAGTCAATCCTAAAGGAGATCAGTCCTGAATATTCATTGGAAGGACTGATGTCACTGAAGCTAAAAGTCTAATACTTTAACCACCTGATGTGAAGAGCTGACTCATTGGAAATGACCCTGATGCTGGGAAAGATTGAAGGCAGGAGGAGACGGGGATAAGAGAGGATGAGATGGATGGATGGCATCACTGACTCAGTGATGAATTTGAGTAAGCTCCAGGAGTTGGTGATGGACAGGGAAGCCTGATGTGCTACAGTCCATGCGGTCGCAAAGAGTCCGACACGACTGAGCAACTGAACTTAACTGAACTGCCTCCTGAAAACTATAAAACCAACACAGTAAGTTAGAAAAGAGATGTGCTATAATATCTAAATGAAACACCATGGATCAAAGTCTTGCAATAATATTCTGAACGCAGACACATAGATTAAGAGGGAGTATGCCTGGCTTTGGGACAGGTGGTAACTGCCGTTCTTGGAAGCACAGAGCAGCTGTAAAAGGTGTCAGCCATGGGCCCAGCACTACCCAGACCTTTAGACAAGGTCTTCCTGATGCCAGCAAATCACCAAGCTCTCCTGCAATATACTTTATTCATGTTCATCTAATAACATTTAGACTTCTGAGAATATCTTCATGCTTGAATAACTCATCAAGTCTACAGACTGAAAGCATCTCTAGGCCCAGTCACTCCATTGTAATTTAACTAGAAAATACTTTTTAACAATCATTTGTAAATAAATAGGACTTCTAGAGTCCAACTCAATTTATCAGGACACAGACCCCCATTGGACTGTGACAGGAGCATTCCTGGGGAAAAAGTAGAAGACTACATTTCCCCAATACTAGTGTATTCTAGTATAACAATACAATAACTTGAGTATAGACTCAGGGGCATTCTGAGGTCATCCTTCTTCCACAGATTTGGGGCAGAGGCCCAGGAGTTTGCATTTTGGATAAACGTCTCAAGTGATTCTGATACACATTTTAAAGAGCATTGCCTTACAATTATCATAATGTACCTAATCCAGACTCACTCACATTCTATAGATTGTTATATAGCTCTGAGAATGTCTGAGTAGTGCTTTTGATTGAAAAGATATTTTTTGGACACTGTCTCCAATTATTTGCTCATTATCAACATCCATGCTGTAACAAAAATTTCAGTTTGAAAAACTTGTTAATGAATTTATAGCTTATATATTAGTATGTTAATACTTCTGGATGATGATAATATTCTCTACTTTTAAAAAGATTTACTAAATGATACATCACTTGTCACAGAGTCATATACCAATGGCCTGTAAGGCTGACCAGGTGGACATTAAGTGGAGATGCAGAGGTAAAACCTTCACTTGGTAATGTCAGGATTTGTATAAAGCTTGGACCAAGTTTCACGGATTGGCACCAAAAGATGCCTTCCTCTTGACCTATTCTGATTTCTGCATGTATTGCAAGCATATTCAGTTCCTCCCATAACTTTGCCTATTTCAGGCATCACCTCTGTTCTCGCTTGTGCTGTAAGGAGAGTGGGCTCAGTAACAGGGACAGGACGATGGGAGAGAAGGGACCCCTGAAGTGAGGGCATGCGCCCTGAAGCAGCTCTCTCCCCGCCCTCAGCCAGCTGTGGCCTCCCGAGGCTGGGGACATCACATGCATGTGACGTCCTCTGGAGCAGTGCCTCAGCAACAGTTCCTTCACAATATGAATACCAAATGTGAACTCGGTCATCTTATTGTATTCACAATACGATTACCAAATATGAACTCGGTCATCTTATTGTAGTCACAATACGATTACCAAATATGAACTCGGTCATCTTACGTGGAAAGTGAAGTTCATTTTCTCTGTCATGCACATTTCAAACTCATCTTCCTCCTCTGGTCCATACATAAATGAAGTTGGACTTACAAACCTGACAGAAAAGAATTCAGATTTAATTTAACTGTCTTATTTGATGAGGTACTTAAAAAACCTTTCTCTGTCACCTGAATATAGCGTATCTCTTAAATATGACATAATTCAGAGTACAGATGCCTCTAAGTACCAAGGAATACTTTTGATAAAGGTAAGAATACTTTCTTGTTAAGAATTTTTGTGAAAATGTAATGAATTTCCCAGGTGGCGCTAGTGGAAAGCTGTGGGCTCTAGTTGGGGTGACAATTTCTCTTCCCCCCAATATTCTCTACTTCCTTCCCAACACTGCCAGCTCACTCTAGTGACCATTCCTTCTCTCTCAGCCCTCAAATGATTCATGCAAACTTGAAAAATATGAGATAAATTCTTAGCTTTGCCCTCGGGCTCCAATATCCACTTATACTTCAGTGTATCTGACAGATTTTTGAATTACTTCTCACCATCCACCAATTCCTGCTGGCCATTTGTAATGAACCCCAAGTCTGGGGAACAATTCAAACACCAATAAGTAGGGCAAGTTTTTGTTAAAATACAAGGTTGTCACTCTTTTACCTGAGATGAGACACATGCATGGTTGGTAATGAAGTTCAAGGAATTTTTCTAGGGAAATCCCAATTCCCCAAGTTGTGCATATTTGGCAGCTAATATGAGGTAATATGGGCTTTTTGGCGGCTCAGCGGTAAAGAATCTGCCTGTGGCACAGGAGCTGTAGGAGACGTGGGTTCGAACCCTGGGTCGGGAAGATCCCCTGGAGGAGGGCATGGCAACCCACTCCAGTCTTCTTGCCTGGAGAATCCCATGGACAGAGGAGACTGGCGAGTTACAGTCCATGGGGTCGCAAAGAGTTGGACGTGATAGAAGCGACTTAGCACACACGCATGAGGTAGTATGTTAGAGGCTCTTTTACACAGCAGAGAGATATGTTCAAGTGTTGTAGATTTAGGCAGCTTCATAGCTGCAGAGCATTCGTTGCTCAAAATAACAAGATGTGTTTAATCGAAAACCGGGACGACACACTCATGTAACAAAATCCAGGAGGCGAGATACGCATCCAAATCCAAGAAAGATGGAATCGGCTGTTCTCTTCTCCTCAGTCCCGCCTTCGAAGGGCTTCCTTTTCCACCTGCTTGTTTTATCTAACGGGAGACTCGGTTCCATGGTTTTATTTTTATATGCCTGTGTGCCATCATTACGGGTGGTTAAAAATGACTGGAGGTGATTTACATTTAGAGCAACTAGAAAAGCCCATCTATTCATTCTATATCTCATATCATCTATTGCTTTAAGAATGTTGTTTTAAACTAAGATTAACAGGCTTAATAATTTCCAGTAAAATCATGAAAGATTTTCTCAATACTATTTTAAAAGTTCCTTCTCCTTCACATCTGCTTCCTGAATCAGAGAGGGGTCCACTCCAAGAATTACTAAAGCTGTGAGGAGGCAGTGAGTGCTGGCCGGGGTCTGTAGGGCAGGAACTCCGTAACTCACAGCAGTAGAGAGTGGGCAGGTGAGCCAGCGCTCCCGTATCTGCTCACCTGCCACACAGGTAGGTGCAGGGCTGGGACAAGAGTGACGCGGCCAAGCTTCCACTTCTCTAAACCTCACACGTGCCATGGCCCCTGGGCACGGCCATTCAAAGTGCACGCCAGCACTCTGGGGCCCTGGCCTCGGCAGTGTATAGCTAAAAAGGCTGCACGTGGCCTGCCAGAGGTTTGGTGGACTCTTCCAGTGAGAAATCTCCTCCATGAGGACATTAATATAAGGTGGTCTCAGTGATGACTACCGAGTGAGTAAAATCACAAACAGCTAAGCAACGGGCTGAAACACCGAGGGTAATTGTTAAGAGGAACAACACATGCTCTTTCATAAGAAACCTTAAGCCTGTTTTTGACCAATAATTTAAGAAGCAACAGAAATCAAAATCAGCTCAGAATTTTACCGGAGGCTTTCATGTCTACTCACCCATGAACTGTTAGCATGACTTCATACTTAAGAGGTATTGTTACAGTCACCTTATTATGCTTCACATCGCCTGTTTCCCCTTCATTTTCACTACAGAAGCAAACAGAAGAGACTCTTAGAATCCAGTCAGCATGAAAATTCTCATCAGAGAGAACTAAAAGGCACCCCACTCCAGTACTCTTCACATGGACGGAGGAGCCTGGTAGGCTGCAGTCCGCGGGGTCGCTAAGAGTTGGACCTGACTGAGCGACTTCACTTTCACTTTTCACTTTCATGCATTGGAGAAGGAAATGGCAACCCACTCCAGTGTTCTTGCCTGGAGACTCCCAGGGACGGGGGAGCCTGGTGGGCTGCCGTCTATGGGGTCGCACAGGGTCGGCCACGACTGAAGCAACTTAGCAGAAGCATACCTAATGTACTTGGAGGTTGGTTTAAAATATGCTTTTTGAAGAGTCAGAATAAAAGTAGATGTAACAGTAAAAAAGTTTACGTCAGAGCTGGCAGAAACTTGCTGTCATTATCTACACTGCTACTTTGCTATTTATCTCTATGCTATAAAGCTTTAGGTTAGAAGGTCTTTTGCTTTAACAGATCATATAAGAGAAGTTTTCTCCTGCAGATAATGGAACACAGTCCATGGTTCCCCTAAAGTGACCCCTGTTTCTCTCCCCCAAAAGTCAGGGGTTCATCTAACACAGTTGTTTTTTCATAATGAAAAGTACCAGGCGGCATGTACTGTGATGTTGAGATCCTCTTCTGCTCTGCCGAGTGAGCTGGCATCCAGAAGAAAGCTAACATCTGTCTGAAAAACACAGACAGGGAACGCCCATTTTAAAAATAATCAAAAACATTCTTTTTTGTTTTTACAATCTGAATTTTAGTTTTTCTTATTGTTTACACTCTGTGAAGTGCAGATTTGAGATGATGTTCCAGAAGCACAGGCTACCCCTCAGACAGAGCTGCGGGGAAGCTGTGGGGTTTATGGCAACGTTAAAGCAGAGAAACCGTGATGTGCAGAGAAAAAGCCTCCTCTGAGTGCAGAGAGGCAGGTCCAGAACGACAAAAATTCGAGATGCTTTAACAACTTGAGTGCGGACTCTTGCCAGAAACGCCTTTTTGTGTGGCAGAGGTAACATGCCTGGCAGATAGAATCACCTGGGGTGGGCTGGGGGGAGTGTTGGGAAGTGTGAGTCTGGGGAGCAGAATCCTGATGTAACATTCACCTGCCCACCCTGACATAAACAGGTGCCCCCCCCCCTTTTTTCTTATTTTTTTAAACAGTGAACATTGCCAAAGATATAAAAATCTCAAAGATCTCAAACCCAGTTAGTTTTGGTGTGACTTCATTTAGCTACTTACTTAGTAAATAATAATAGTAATAATAAATTATTTGTATGCAGCACAGATACAGAAAACAGAAAATACTTTATATTCATGTGAGTAACAAAAACTATAAATGCTTACCTTTGATAGATGATCTACATAGATATAACCAACCCTGCAGTCAAGCTTCACTATGCCAGAGCTGTCTGTTACTTCACAGTTTATTTGTTTCTCTTCCTAAAAGGAAAAATGAGACAACTGGTTTAGGGAGAAGGGGACAAGAAGTCTGTCACATATGTTTAAGGATGGTTTTGAAAAGAAAATCATCCCCAGAGAATGTACTTTTTTGGAAGACTATTTTCTATTTAATTTTGGAATAAATCAGTAGGAATAAAAATAAATTACATAAACGTGTATATAAGTGTATAGCTAGTCTAAAATTTACATAAATTCTCCACAGAATAATTCCTGGACTTACAGCTTTCAACTATGTTTCTGTGTTCACTATTTAACTCAGCGAAAAATTATTAAGCAAGGAATTCCTAAGGTCTGCATTTCATTGGCCCTCTTCTGTCTGGGATGTGAGAATGTGATAAAGGTATTTAATTATAAAAACTGTAATCACGATGACACATATATTCAAGTGTTTGGGGAAATATACACTTAGGTACATCTCATAGATGCACGTTCCTTCAGTAGCTGAGTTTTTCCTCTCACCATTGCGGGTAGGCCCCCAAGGCTCCAGTGGAAGTGGGGAGTAGATATCTGTGAGAGGTCAGAAGACTTTCTAAATGCTGTGAGTGTGAAGAAAGTCTCTGGATGAGAGATGGGTAAATTTTCTAAGAGGCAGAGAAATATCCAAGAAGAAAGTGATTGAGACGTTGCTCTTTCAAATTCAACATTACTAATACCTCATGGATGGATTTAAGGGCTCATGACTAAGGCACAATGGTAAAAAGGAAAAAAAAAAAAAGCTTTTCAGATGCTCCAAACTCTTTCAGGAAAAGAGAAACTTGTGTGCAAGCTGGATGACAGGATTTTGGAATTTGACACTGGTTCTAGCATGTTGGAAGTTCTGTGGGAATAAGACAGTATATGTTCACCTACAATGCAGAGCAGTATCTCTAGGAGCCCAGCATGGGAGACCAGTATTGCCCATGTCCGGACCCCAACCATGAGGAGCACCATCACAGCCCCAGATGAGGATGTACCAGTGAGGAAAGCAATGGCAGCTGGCAGCTTGCTTGCATAACTGGACAGTCACTTCTGTCACATAGTAGCATTTGGAAGCAGGAAGTTGACTCTCCTGATGTCAGTCATACCCCAGGAAACTTGCCATGTTGTTTAGGAGCACAGAGAAAGTAACAGCCCTGGAAACCTGAGTGCTAAGTGTGACTATTAAGACTCAAACCTCAAATATTTATACCTCAAACTGATAATGTCATTCATGCCATTTAAATTCTTTAAAAAATTAAGTAAAATACGTAGTATCATCATGCCATTATAGTTTTTGATACTTGTTGTTCAGTCACTCAGTCATGTCCTACTCTTTGTGACCCCATGGATTGCAGCACATCAGGCCTCCCCATCCCTCACCATCTCCCGAAGTTTGCCCAAGTTCATGTCCATTGCATTGGTGATGCCATCCAGTCATCTCAGCCTCTGACGCCCTCTTCTCCTCCTGCCCTCAGTCTTTCCTAGCATCAGGGACTTTTCCAATGAGTCAGCTGTTGGCATCAGATGACCAAAAATATGTTTGATATTTACCAGATCTAAAATCTTAATGAAGTAAAGACCAGTGGGGAGCTTGATATGCAGAGTTGTCTCATACGCATCATCTCCAGCATTAAATAAAGACACGTTCAACATCAATGTCTTCATACTTCCAACAGCAAGATAGGTTTTATTTTCATGTGGTCTAAAAATGAAGTAATATTATTTAGTTTTTGTTTGAGAACTAAATATCCATCTCTTCATTTATTTATCCGGAACATAAAATATTAACTTGGAAATACAACCATAGTAGATGACCCCATGCAAGTAGATGTAAATCTATGTTAAAAAGAACTCAATTTCCCAGGTTTCAGATAAATTTAGTTAGTTATTACATAAGAAAAGTTTTAGAATTTAGTTATAATTAAACTAGCCTGTTTTCTGTTTTTCTGTTTAACTTTCTGCTGCTATCATTTTACATATTTTTCTCATTATTTCAAAATATTTTCCTAAAAGATTTTTTTCATTTTCTTTCTTTATCCTTACAAAGACACTGCATTAGCTGTTTCCCAGGCCATAGGGGGACATGGGGAAAATTGAGGAAAAAGAACAGACTATTTCCACCAAGATAGAGGCTGCTCTGGGGGAAGTGGGCACAACCTGGGAAGGGACTGCTGTGGCCAGCAAATGGGTGCCACTAAAATCTGCTGGATTAGAATTAATTTCTTAAGGCAGACTGGTCACCTCTACTAATAAATGGACCAAATTTTTAAAACTGCAGAAATGCTTCAGCATCCTGTGAATTGGAATGAGAACACTGTTGCACATCCAAATGGATAGGTGAGTGCAAGTTCTGGAGTAAGTGTCAATGTTAAGAGTTCTCAGAAGTTCTTCCAGTTGGTACTCACTGCTAAGCCCCTTCCACCCAGCATTGCATCCTCCCTACTGAAAGTGGTTTCTCCCTCTCCAACTATCCCGCACACTGGGCAACCCTATAAACCCATATGTTCACACTGTCTGGTTTTTCTCACCACTAGAATAAGTTCTCTTGGAGAAATGTTCTGGGCCTGTTTTCTCCAAGGCTAGCAACACAATTAGTGTTCAGAGTATATGTGTGGTACATAAGTGCAGTAACCTTAAAAATGGTTGAGTAACACTAAAGAAAGTTCTGAAAGATTGAGGAATTATTGGATAAGTGACTATTAAAATTTCATGAACTATATACATTCTATGAAATTATAGCCATGCTTATCTGCTTTGTGATGGAATGAAAATTCCAAATGTTTCATTAAGATAAAGTAAACATCTACTACTACCACATTCATATGTTCTGTACCCCACCCACACAACCTCATATTTTAGCAACAACACTACTATTGAGCTGACCAATAAATTGATGGCAACATTGATACTGGAAAGAGTACAGTTTTTAAGAAGCAAAATATTATTAGCCTCAGCTTGTACAAACAAAATTATAATTTTTTGGACACATCTCCCTACTTTTATACCTCTAATAATATATCTTTAAGAAATCAGACATTTCACCTAATTCCTAAAAGTTCTTCCCCTCTTATCCTAATTGCTTTACCACTTTAAACTTTTTTATCAAGGCAGAACATACATAAGGAAAAATGCACACAACCTAAATGGAGCACTCAGTACATTTTTATAAACTGAATACATGTGTGAAAGCAGCACCCAGATTGAGAAAAACATTCTGCCAGCATCAAAGAGACACCTTTGTGCCCCCTTCCAATTATTGCCACCAGCCACTATCTTGCTTTTAATAGTCTAGTCTGGCTTTGCTCAGTTTTATACTTCATATAAACGGAATCACTGACTATGCAATCTTTCAGTATCTGACATTTCTGTATTCAAAATTTTGTTCTTAAGATTAATCTGTATTGATGCATAGAGTTAAGTCTTTCTTCCAACTAGTGTGCATACTAATTTTTATAAATATGCTATATTTTATTTATCTTTTCAACTATCATTGGGAATTTGGCAATTCCAGTTTGGAGCTTCTATAGTTTTCCAGTAAACATATACATGGAATTATGCTGTGTCCATCAATCTGTCTATCTATGAGCAGACCCTTAACCCAGGACTAATTCCTGAAAAAATTCTCTAAGTCAGGCTAATTCTGGCAACCAGTTTAAATTCTACTAACAAGTTACATTTAGAAAATACAGTATAAAGAACTATGTTTAAATAATAAAAAATAAAAATGTCCTACAGGATTCTCATATAAAAAGCAAGCATACCATAGAGTAGGAGTTCAAAAACTGCTGCCTGAAGGCCAAATTTGGACGGCTGCCCGGTCATGCAAATAAAGGTTTATTGGAACATAGCCATGCCCATTCATCTGTAGCCACTTTTGCACTCTGACAGCAGAGTTGAGGAGTTCAGACAGATCTCTGTCCCACGAAGCCTAAAATATTTACTGTCTGTGCCTTCATGTAAAAAGTTTGCTGGCTCTGTCATTGAGCAGTCTGACTGAGGAGCATAATTATTTCAAAATAAGCACCCCGCATATTACTATATTTTAAATTGGTATTATTTTGACAGTAACAGAAACTTCATTATTTCAGATGGCACCGGATGCTGTCTTAGAGGAAATGATCCCCTAGACCTCATAATTTCTTGTCTGATAGTAAAGACGTAGAGGAGAAAGGAATTAAAATGTTCCGAGGCAGCATTTCTAGCTCTGACCCCTGGGTCTGAGAAGTTGGATATTTCTGGAAGGATGTATGGTAACTAACAAGGCAGTAACTCTTCTAAAGCCTCGGGTAAATTTCAGGGTAGAAGAATCTGACTCAGCGAGAGTGTGCTCTTTCTCCCAACATGTGAGGGGATGGCTGTGACTTGCTCATTCTTGTGTTGCAAAGCTTTGTGTTACGTTAGCACACATCTGCTTGGTGGCTCTGTGTTTAGGGCAGAGGGGAGATGTGCATAAACACGGCTGTCCCACAACCGCTCTACTTCTCCAGGACCACAGTGCAACTAAGGGAACCAAAGAGGTTCCAAAAGTAAACTTCAGCTTGACATTAAAGTTTAATTAAGACTTGTAGAAGAGCTGCCTAGAAATAGACATTTATAAAATATTCTGGCTTGTAACCAAAGCATTAGTCACTGAACACCTTTGGGAAAGAAGTTGGCACTTAGACAAGCAACAGAAGGTGAAAGCACTGCATAAGCAGCTAGGTTCCAAGACAACAGCAAATTAAAGAGAAACACACACTGTTCACATTTCAGCAGCAAGGCTCCTGGTCTGTTTTCCATTTTTAAGCTATTCTGCCGCATTATCATGATCACGATTCTACTCTTTGTGTACGTGTGTGTACATGTACATGTACACACACATATATATGTATATATCTTATTATACCTTGAATCATTAACAAGGGGCCGGCAGAAAGAGACCCACCAGCTTTTTATATGAGACATAATAAAGGACCAGGTGCACATCTGGAAGTGCGACAAGGCTGAACCAGAGCCGTTCCGGGAATCGTAGTTCATTCTTCATTAAAACATGCATAATGCAGACTTGAAATTTACAAAGAAGCCTAGAATCCACGTAATTTAAGCAGATCAAGATACTGGGTACATACAGAATCATAACTTACTAAGGGAAAAATAGAAAAATGATGAATTTCAGCACCAGGCTCTATGTTTTTCCTGAATGAATGCTATTGTTCTATTTTGTGCAAAATGCTTCCTAAGTCTTAATATAATAAATGCATTTTGCCTCTATAAGATGAATGACTGCTTCATAGCTAACATGTTTTTAATCAAGATGCTAGAACAAAATATAATATGAATTAATATGTACCCGTGTCAATGTACATGAGTGGTTTATTTGACAAAAAACTAACCTGGAGGAAGCGGCCTACAGGTCCAAGTAAACATGTCTCCTCTTTTGTCTTTATTACTGACTTTGAGAAAATATTAAGCACTGGAAAATTTTCATCTACTGGGAAATATCAGCTACGTGACATTTAAGAAGATTTTACTGAATAAAGACAAACTCATTGAGATCCCAAGGAGGCTAGCAGAGGAATATGACTGGAAGACTGAACTAGTAATTAGAATGTTCAGTGTATAAAGCATACAATTCCTCTTCCCCACACTCGGTGACATCCTAATATCAGTACTATAGAAATGGACAGTGGTGTTAGACTTACTCTTTTGGGGGTAAAAGAACAGTGCAGGTACACACTGCTCACTGTCCGGCTTCCCTGGAGGCTCAGCAGTAAAGGACCACCTGCAATGCAGGAGACTCAGGAGACTTGGGTTTGATCCCTGGGTCAAGAAGATCCCTTGAAGAAGGAAATGTCAACCCGCTCCAGTGTTCTTGCCTGGAGAATCCCATGGACAGAGGAGCCTGGCAGGCTACAGTCTTGCGTGGTCACAAAGAGCTGGACATGACTGAACAATTGACTGCACACACACACACACACACACACACAGTCTATCCAACAGTGATCTCCATTCTTATCTGCTAACAGAACCCTGGATTACTCAAGCAACAAGGAATGTCCCCCTGATACTGCAGAAGCTACGGTCCTTGTTTGGCTTCAGGGAGTGACTTTTGACTAATCTAAGATCATGATGACTCCATGCTCCTTCAACCAGGAGAGATTCAGGAGGAAGCATGTGACCCAGTCTGGTTCATCGGGATAACAAGTCTGCTCAGACACTTCCTTCCTCTAAAGCCAGCCTCAAGAGGACACAGGCTTCACAGAACTGAAAACTACTGACCTAGGCACAGTTAGCAGCACTCTTGGGACATAAAGAAACAACAAACTCTGGACAATAACCAGTACACGCTCAGACAATGTTTAGAATTCACTGGCAACAGTTCATTTGTTTTACCAAATAGAAACTTTTTGGGGGATATGGTCTATAAATATCACAATCATAATGTTACAAAAAATAATAACATCACATTTTCATGTGTACCAGGCTTTGTGCTAGGTAAGGTACTGGTCTGCCTCACTGCATTTTATTTTTAAAACAACCTTATAGAGTAGGTACTATTTTACTTTCTTATTGATGAGGAAGGAAGTGTGCAGAGGTTGAAAGTCTTCTCTAGTTATTCAGCTAGTAAACCATAGATAAACTTGAACCAGGTTAGCCTGACTTTAAGTTTAAACTCTAAACCACAACAATTCTTAGATTCTTAGATTTTAGTTTGATAAGAACCACTGATAGCCTTCTTAATAATGAATATCCCTGGCCTGGTCCCCATGGATACTGATTTGGATGGTCAGGGCCTAGGAGCCTGCATTTCTATCAAGCATCCCAGCTGATTCTCATGAAGGTGACTCTCAGACCACATCTTGAGAAACAGTGTCTTACCATACAATCATAATGGACTTCATATTTTGACTATAATAAGAAACATTATTATTTCAAGTTAAAATGCAAAGTAAGGAAGTAACTTCTTATTGTGAGAAATATGAAGAAAAACTGATAATTAAATTAATGACTTAATATCTTAATTCAGGAAGATATATTTTAATTCTTCAGGAAATTAGCCTTCTTCATAAGTTCCTATAAATTTCAACATTTTTTTTTTCATGGACCTGAGGGATTGCGATGAAAGATGACAAGGTGACAGTGAGGGTGTCTGATTTAAAGAGATGAAAACGCCACTTAATTATATCTTAGATAATCTTTACCACACAAAATTATCTTTCTTATCAAAGGCTCATGACAGCAAAAGTACCAGGAAGACTAGGCATTTTAGGGAAAAAATACATGAATGGGAAGGTTATAAATTATTCATCTAATATTTCAACAAAGGCACCACAATTACATGCTGAATTATGAAGTAGTTAGTGGTTGCTGTTTTAGGACTATCTAAGCAGCCAATCTGGATAATTTAAGTATAGAGTTCAATTATCAATCAAATCGGTTAGGGCTTCTTGGCCCTCAACTGTGGATGCTCAAGGCTATCCTGGCATTGCCTAAGTGAAAAGAATTAATTTATTCTCTGCCATATGTCATCCCACCCCAGCAGGGTACTCAACACTGTTTGTCAACCTTTTTACTCATTCCTGGTTGACCCTCCATCCCATTTATTACAGTTACTTTGAATCTTTTCCCGTTCCCTTCACGAGGTCCCAAACCCATCCTCAGAGCCCTCACTTTCTATTTACAAACTCAGTTTTTATTCTGGCCATCCATGAGTTCTCTATATTTCCCCTCCTACCACATTAAAATTTCTTAATGTCAGCATCTGTTCACAGTTTCTTAGCTCAAGATAAAGAAAATCTTAACTGCTTTCTAAGCCTAACCCTTCTACATGTGTCTTATCCCCACGCTGTTTCCTTTAGGTCCTTGCTGCATTCTCAGCAAACATCCATTTGTCACCTATAGCATTCCAGGCACTGTATTTTGCATTAGGGCCACAAAGATGAAAATGCAGACACCTGAAGCAGCCTATAGGGTAGTGTGGAGATGGACAATAATAGTGGTGAGCACAGATGCAGTGGGAACAGGAACACTGGAGGACTCAGGTTTTTGTAGCCAGAGACAAAGTGGGGCTGCTTTACCTAGGAAACAGCTGAGATTTATAAGATAAATAAGGGCTAACTACATAGGTAGGTCGAAGTGAAAAGATACAGAGGCAGGAGAGGATGGTATAGCCGAGGAACCATAAATATTCTGCAATCAATGGAAAAAAGTTCAGTGGAATTGCTAAGAAAAAGCACTAAGGACTTCAGATTTTTAAGATTATAATGTACTACTAAAGCCCTACTATCATAAGCTTAAGTGAGAAAACTCACTCTGGAAACATCTTGGTAGAGGAATTCGAATAATGCAAAGTCAGACACCAGGATCCCAGAAAGTGGTTAAGCCCATTGATTCAGGCAGGATGTTGAGCGCCTGTTTCAGAGCAATAGTCATAGAGATAGAGTAGTATGATGGATAAAAAGCATATCTGGTGGTAGTATTATAAGGCTGGGTAATTTACTTGATGTCAGGGATAAGAAAGAGAGAAGGGTGCAGGCCGAACTGCAGGTTGCTGGCTTCGGTAACTAATGGTTGTGTCATTGGTGGATGGTGACTAGGCTTCCAACAGTTCATGTGTGATAGGCAGCTGGATGAGTGGGTGTGAGCTCAGAGGCGTGGATCAGCAGTAGAGGCAGGCCAGGGGAGGTCACAGTTGTGAGTAAGGTTATCCAGGGAAAATACAGGCGAGTGAGAAAGGGCCAACAGAGCCAAAATCGGCGATCCCCCAGCACAGCTGAGGAGGGGCTAGAGAAGTAGCAATACACAGAGAATGGGAGGAGGGTGGCCTCACGGAAATGAAAGCAAAACCCACCGAACAAAGAATGTGAACAGTTGCCAGACCTTCACAGGAGAACTCAAGTAGGATCTGAAAGTGTCCCCTGGATTTAAGTAGACCCTCTGTTCAATTTATTCTTTTCACTGCCTTTGATCTTCACATTTGCTTATATCATCCCATGATTAAATAAATAACCTTTGATAAATACATAAATATTCCCTTAATCACGGATGCTGTCATTATGCTACAACTGCTCAGACATTTCTATGTTAAAATTCGCTGGTGACTTTCTATTTTTCCCCCGCCAGTTACATTTTAAGTGCCAACTTCCATGACCTTTCCTCATTCATTATGGTCTCTGATCTCTACAAAATTACAGTATTAAGTCTCTCTTTTTACATTTTCCATTGGCTAGCTCAACATGGACTTGATTTTCCTCTTGGTTCTATGAAGTTACTTGTTCAGTCTCCTGCATTAACTCCTTATTCTTTTTAAGCTTTTTAAATGAAATTTATCCACCCTTGCCAAGATTTGATCCTTACTTCTTTTCTCTGTGAAATTCCCATTTCGATCCCAGGCATTTTCCTAAGTCACTAATGTATAGAGGACCCCCAAATACAATCCTGAACTAGATTTTCCAGTGGAGAGCTACATACAGAAATCTCACCAAACTCAGAATACCCCAGTTTAAACCTGCTTCCTTTATATCCCTGCTTCCCCAAAGAAGTCTCCCATTTCCTTCCCTGTCAGTGATGCCTCCTTGTCTCTCTCACTTTTCATACACAAGTAGCTCTTAACCTGAAGTATAGATCTCCAATCTTCATTTTTACATCTTCCCTTCCACATGCAGAACAATGGCAATAGAGAGGACATAAATACGGTACAAAATTACAATGGTTTATTTTGCAAGCATTTATCCAGTTTGTACTATGTACACTATTCTAAGCATGTTACATGTGTTTTCTTTTTTCTGTTTCCCTTCTATGAATTTAGAAGAGCAAAATGGTTTATTCCCTTTCAAATGTGTCACATAAACTTAGAGATTTTGTGCATCAGTCTGAACTTGTGCATCAGACTTCTCTGGTAGCTCAGATAATAAAGAATCTGCCTACAGTGCAAGAGACCTGGGTTCAAACTCTGGGTCAGGAAGATCCCTTGGAGAAGGGAATGGCTACCCACTCCAATAAACTTGCCTGGAGAATTTCACTGAGAGGAGCCTGGTGGGCTATGGTCCATGGGGTTGCAGAGTCAGACATGACTGAGCAACAAACACTTATGCATCACTGAACTATGTAAACAGTTTTTGGATGATAGAATACTAAGCATGATGTAATAAAGGTTAGCTCACTTTGCCACTAAAATTCTATTAACAGGTACTTTAAAATGTTTGAAAAATAAATACAATTATACTAATGATAATCTAAAACACACTCAAATCCTGAAATACCTGAATTATCAATAAAAAGATTAAAATTATGCCTGATAAACCCATGGTGCTCACACAGTCTCATTCTTTCAGTAAGTGGTCACCTTTGAACGTATTTTATATGACTACTGTATAGATCACTTAGTCTCTTTCAGCATAATGTTGTTCTTTTCCAGGTCTTTAAATGTTGTTAACCCCCAAAGATTAGTTCTTAGTCCTTTATTCTTTAGAACCCACATGCACATATAAAGTACCCCATCCTGATGAATAACAGAGAGTAAAGTACACTTACTTCAAAAATCCAATTTTTGCAGAAACCTGTAAATCAGCAGTACAGTTTTCATGGGCACAAAATCTGGCAAAGTTTATCTGGAAATAAAATGGCAATATTTTTTTATTTTAGTTAAAATCAGAAGGCCTATTTCTATGTTTTTTAAAGAATAACATCTACAATACATGAGAAAAAATTAATATAGCAAATTGATAACTTTCAAAAAGTTCAATTTGAGAATTAGAAGTTTCAGATAACAATTCCAGGGCTCAAGGAACCAAGTTCTTTCAATAGGTAAATTTAAAATCTGTGTTAAGTAAAACAAAAAAATTCTTTCATAGTAGTTGTATAAAAAGAAGTTTAATCGAACTGTGATAGTAACCTCTGTAAGTGTTTAAAACTTGTGCTGCCAAGACTTTTTCATCGAATGCCTCTCGATTTTCTGGTGGTGCCATGTTACCCTGCTTATTATATGTAAGCATGACACAGTTTTCACAGATGGTAGAACAGTGACTTTATATTATGCTGAAAATAATAAAATGCAGAAATTTTACTGTGAAGATACAGTGAATAAAAACAAATGATAGTTTATCAAGAGATTCCAGAATTTATTTAATTCCAAGCATTTTAATAGGACCCAGAGATACTGTAAGGTACACAGGAAGCCCTTAGGTATAAGCTGGACAAAGAAATACAGACATAAAAGATATAAGAAGAAAGCAAGCAGAGAGGGGCAGGTGAAAGGGGGAGAGATACATGAAAGAGAGGAATCTGGAGTCAGAGGAGGGAGCCAGGCCCATGAAATGGAAAGGGAGTGGAGCACTGTCAGATGGCATATCAGACCAGACACTGCCTATACCAGCGGAGCAGAGGGAAGTGTAAAGTTAAATCGTTCCCTAGATGACTTAAATATAACTTTTTTCTATTACTTTTATTTGTAAAGCAGGTTGTTCGAAGAATCGAAATGTAGCTCATTTTAATAACAAGTTCTAAGATTTGAGCTTATGTACTTAAAATACTGAGATGTTCATTATTAAAGGCATTTAAAGGTAGTTGATACTGAAAGCTGCAGTTCAACAAAAGAGTGAAAAAAAAACTGACTTCCATAAATATTTTCATACAAGGGTATAGAGAAAGTTTCCTCTTAAGTTATCATCTTCATTTGATTTAGCACAGAGAGCAGACAGTGCTGATTCTAAGCTCAAACATCTTAAAGTGACGTAGGGGCAATTTTGCCTGCACAGGATATGACCTAGACCTTTAAATGTCCTTTTCACCTTTTGCATTCTGTATATGAGTGAATGTTTTAATGAGTACTTTTACCACAGCCCCAAACATCCTTTGACTCTGTCTTTTTGCTGTTGGATAGTAAAAGTCTGAACTGAACTCCTGGGAATAAACTGTCAGTGAAACTGATATGTTTTGGCATACATTTGAAAAAGCAGTTCACTGGTTAGAGTGCAGGATCAATCTCAAAATGCATTTAGATCCTGAGATGTGGTTGAAAAGCATATAGTTAAGTTAAAAAGAGAAACTGTTGTGTAATTAAATACACGCTTATAAATGAGTAAAATCTGACTAATAAAGACATGAATGAATCTGTGGGCAGGGTGAGTGAGAGGGAAACAAAATGAAAAAAGAGACAGAAAATGAGAAAGATAAGTTGAAGACACATGACGACACTGAATAACTTGTTAATGCTGCTCACTTCCATTAGAAGTCCTTGCTAGAAATACACTTTCTTCACTGACAAGGTATCGAGGAGAGAAAATTAACATTTCATGTATATATGGGAAATCATTGCTATGACTAAATGCATAGTTAAAAGTAATCAGTTCAATATCCTAAAGGGAAAATAAAAAAAAAAAAATGGAAAACAAGATGTACCATAAATCTTTTTTATAAAAAAATTTAATTAAAATTTTAAAAAGAATTCAGATAGTTCACTTCCGCAGAACTATATAATATTAAAAAATAATTCTTTAGTTGTATGTCACACAATGTTTCAAATAAAGAAAAATATTCCTACTGTTTTCTCGATGATGTCTTTTTCTTTCTTCTGCTGAAGAATTGGCTGAAGTGGAGGGAATTCCTCTATGCTTCGTTTACTGATGACATGATGCCCCAGGTGGTAAGCGGCTTCAATCTGAATTGGGGTGAGGATGTCCCGTACATCTTTCTACAGAAATTGAAAACCATATGAATTAATAATAAAAATAAGCCTGTAAATTAAAAAAATATATAAGCCCCTCCTCTCTACACAAGGCCAAACACAACATGTGGAAGTTAAAAAAAAAAATCCTTTCTTTTTAAGCTATATTGTTAAAAAATTGAACTGCACATTTTCACTCATATCAAAGGCATTCATGTTTATTAGGAAAAAGACAAAAGTTATTAAAAAGAAAAACCAGAACTATCTAATAGCTATAGAGGTGTGCATTTCAGCATATTTTCTTCCATGCTATTTTCTATGCATACAATTTTCTTATTAGTTGTTACAGTAGTTCTATATTTATTGTGCTTTCACATTTCATAAAGAAAGAGTTCTTGGATTTATCAATTACACAGCAATTGTAACCCATCTGGAATCCATTTTCCTCTGTATGACATTCTAAGTTTAATATCTTACTAATTTTTACACAACATTTATCATTCTTAATCTTATCTATATGTGATCAAAAAGTCTGAGTGATTAGAATTTTAAATGGTACTGTCTTCTGGCCCCAAAGAAACAACTGTGAGTTTATTCCACTGATTGTCAATTCATATATTTTAATCTTTATTTCTACATGCAGGAATTATTTTTCTCTCTTTTAAAAACACTTTCACATGAACTTAAAATTTGTATCATCTTTTCCATTTGATTATTCAATAGCCCCTTTGTTAAATGGGAGTATACTACATTACTATCAAAGTTATCTGCTGACATACACACACACACTAAAATAACTTGAAATAAATAAAATAATAAAATAAGAAAGTATGTTCAAAAGCATTTGACATTTAATTAAGGAAACCCTTCCCTAAATAGTAAAGGTGTTCAAGAATCCCAAGTCTGTGAAAAAAAAAAATGGAGTCGGATAAGACAAAAAACATAACAGTCCTTAGAAAGTAATTCTCTGAGCCCTGCCTAGAGGGATATAAAAATTTCGATATATATGGAACAAAGCAGACTCATTTATTTTTTTTTCCTGTCTTGCTATGGCAAACCTAGACAATGTATTAAAAAGCAGGGATGACATTTTGTAGACAAAGGTCTGTATAGTCAAAGTGAAAAGTGAAAGTCGCTCAGTCATGTCCGACTCTTTGTGACCCCATGGACTATACAGCCCGTGGAATTCTCCAGGCCAGAATACTAAACTGGGTAGCCTGTCCCTTTTCCAGGGGATCTTCCCAACCCGGGGATCAAACCCAGGTCTCCCACATTGCAGGAGGATTCTTTACCAGCTGAGCCACAAGGGAAACTCATATAGTCAAAGCTATAGTTTTTCCAGTAGCCACGTATGACTGTGAGAGTTTGACCATAAAGGACGTTAAGTGCTGAAGAATTAATCCTTTCAAACTGTGGTGCTGAAGAAGACTCTTGAGAGTCTCTTGGACAGCAAGGAGATCCAACCAGTCAATCCTAAAGGAAATCAACCCTGAATATTCATTGGAAGGACTGATGCTGAATCTGAAGCTCCAATACTTTGGCCACCTGATGCAAACAGCCAACTCATTGGGAAAGACCCTGATGCCGGGAAAGACTGAGGGCAGGATAACACGGGGTCAACAGAGGATAAGATGTTTGGATGGCATCAAAGACTCAATGGACATGAATCTGAGCAAATTCCAGGAGATAGTGAAGCACAAGGAAGCCTGGTGTGTGGCAATCCATGGGGTTGCTAATAATCAGACATGACTTAGTGACTGAACAATAACAAGGAACATGGACAAATAAGAGTCCACTATAAAGTAATCCATGAGAATTTATAACAGAATTCAATTGACCATTTAAGCTACAAGAAATAAGAAATGTTGATGGCAAATCTATAGAAAAAGAATCTTATGCACAACAGAATTAAAAATAGATATAATCTCAGGATTTGAGAAGGACGCTCACAATCAGATGATGCTGTCCACCCACATAGGAACTGGGCTTCCCAGGTGGTGCTAGTGGTAAAGAACCTGCCTGCCAATGTAGAAGACATAAGAGATGCAGGTTCAATCCCTGGGTCAGGATCCCCTGGAGGAGGGCATGGCAATTCACTATAGTATTCTTGCCTGGAGAATCCCATGGACAGAGGAGCCTGGTGGGCTACAGGTGACAGGGTTGCAAAGAGTCGGAGACGACTGAAGTGACTCAGCATGCACATAGGAACTATGCAGTTTTTCTTTTCTTTTCTTATTTTGNCCATCGAGTCGGTGATGCCATCCAGCCATCTCATCCTCTGTCGTCCCCTTCTCCTCCTGCCCCCAATCCCTCCCAGCATCAGGGTCTTTTCCAATGAGTCAACTCTTTGCATGAGGTGGCCAAAGTATTGGAGTTTCAGCTTCAGCATCAGTCCTTCCAATGAACACCCAGGGCTGATCTCCTATAGTTCTTGTTAAAAAAATAGTTAGCAAAGTCCCTCTTGACCATTAAAAGAACTGAAGTGTTTTCACTAGGACTAGACATATTAATTTTAACTATAATTTAGTTATATTTATGAGGTTTATATTTACACTTAGTTCGTTAGTAGATCCATGACATTGTAACTGACAAACATCCTAGTGAATGTCAGTGGATTTCTATTTATTTACAGACAATTCAGAGTTGGACTAAAGCTTAAACATTTCTGCCTAAAGGTAGATTTCCAAAGCTCATAAATTAATAACCCCGAATGAATAGAAAAAATACCTATCATAAAGATCATAGCTATGCTGCTTACATCTGTATTAATTTTTAATAAAAGTTAGTTAATAAATATGACACATCACATAAAAGACTATACCTATTCTATGTCTTTATGTAATTAAAAAAGGATTTAATTGTTTCTTCTCATCATTAACTATATATATATATATATATATATGGTTAAAATCAAGTGGTCTGAAGGCAGAGTACTAGGGTTCAAACCTCAGTTCCCTCACTTGTTATCTATGTAACCTTGGAAAAATTACATAATCTATGGACCAATTACCTCATTTGAAAATGATTGGTAATAATGGTGATTATGACACCTACACTTTATTGTTGTGAGGATTCAGTGGCATAATGTATGTAAAACACTTAGCTCAATGCTTGGTATGTATTAAGATCTCAATAGATGTTAACTATTATAATTATTATGTGCATATATTACTTCAAAATGTAGCTATATAAGCCAACCAAGGAATTACAGAACTTTAGTTTCTTATAATAAATTCTGGTGACTATTTGGAAGGAGTGAGAAAAAATAAAATTAGCCTATTGCCAACTAATGAACACTAAATAGAAAATGAGCTACATTTTCTACTAATACAAGTATTGCTTAGTCGCTAAGTTGTATCTGACATTTTTGCGACCCCATGGGCTGTAGCCCACCAGGCTCCTCTATCCTTAGGATTTCCCAGGCAAGAATACTGGAATGGCTTGCCGTTTCCTTCTCCCAGGGATCTTCCCAACCCACGGATCAAACCATGTCTCCCGCATTCGCAGGTGGACGCTTTACTGCTGAACCACTAGGGAAGCAATTAGACTTGTACTAATGAAGTGGTACCTGGACGATGTGTAGCATGACTCAAAGCACTCAAGACTCTCATGGCTTTCCCATTCTCACACATGGAGACGTTTTTATTAGATTACTCGGTAAGTGATCATCTCAACCTGAAACCTTGACCATACAGGAATGCTGCAAATCAAGGCCCAAATCCCAAGTTGTCAACTTGTGAAAATGGAACAGCTTGAAGCCCTGAGTATTACAATAGCAAACTTGATTAAATTATTCCCTAGATGTAGGAGCTAGACAGCCACTGATTGTCCCTCCACATGTCCACTGTTTTAATTCTTCTCAACAAGCTTGCTTTGACCACATCACATGTTATCTAATTCATACTAATTTTCCACAAGGTCTTCTCTACATCTGGTGTATATTACTTTCATTATCCTAATTAGCTATTAATTATGCTTTTCTCACAATATATAAAATGTACGTGTGTTCTTACAAGAACTGTATTTGACAGATATTCACACTTACTTAACTTTAACAGCTCCACATAAGAATAGAAGCTATAATATAAAAAATGTCTTAAAGTGACTAATATATAGGAGGGAAAAAGTAGATTTGTTTAAAATTTTTAATTTGGATGGGCGTGTGCTATCTATATTAAAAATAACGATTCCATGACACATTTTTATGGACAATTACATAAAAATAGGACACTCACAAGCATGCAAATTAGCACATGCCAGAAATTACATAAAGTCTGCCTTATTGTCTGATTTCACAGAAATGTACAGTATGGCCAACGAGAATGGAGCTGTAGGTTCATGTCCTCCTGTGTTTATGCAGTGAAGGAATTTATTTAAAGGGTGGAGTCAGAAATATTTATAAAATATTACTGAATGAAAACTGATGTTGAGGTATAAATAAACATGTGAAGATATCTATTCATGGGTCTACTCTGTAGAAGACAGGGTCTAGGGACACAAATCTGAAAGTCGGTGTCTATGGCACAGTTTATAACCCATAAATCCACACATGTGGTGGGGGGATGAACATTCTGATACACGCAGACACAAGTGCAGAACAGGGAGAGCCACTAATCTACACTCGAAAGGGTGTGGGAAAATGCTCATATAGAAGACTTTTAAATAAGGAATGTGATCAGATTTGTGCTTTTGAAATGCTGCTCTGGTGCCAATGTGGGGAATGAGTTGGTATGGGAGAAGGGAAGACTAGGGCACAGATTGGAATCTGAGCCAGGAAGGCCATGTGTAATTTTAACCATTTCATCTGCTAAGAATGTTTCAGAGGGCAAATTGTCAAACATCTCAGACTAAAACTTTCAGAGAAAAGATAACATCCCCAAGACAGGTATTCTAACCATTATACCAGTAGACTATTCTCAGATTTTTTTCCTCACAGAATTATTTTAAAAGCACTGAGCAAAGAGGACACAAGCAGATGGAGAAATATACCGTGTTCATGGATNACATCATCTATAAATTTATTAAAT